AAAGATGGGGATAAAGCCCCCCCCCCCCCCCCCCAAACAGAAAAGGTTCAAAGAGTCAGGCGTTATAGTGTTACTTAAAAGAAGGGGACTGATTGTGACATGGAGCCCCACTGCCTTCCTCTTTTATCTTCTGGGGGCACCAGTCTCCCCGTTTCACAGGCTGGGCTGTGACCTGACCCATTTCCTCGGCCACGCGCACACACACATGCGCACACACACGCATACACTGAGACAGACAGAGAGACAGACACTGATAGACACACAGAGACAAAGACACACACACACACAGATAGCAAGATACATACAGAGACACTGAGACAGACAGAGACACACACACACTAAGACAGTGACAGAAACACAGACATAGACAGACACACACAAACAGTCTTCCTCTCACTCCCCCCCCCTCCACAAGGAGACCGCGTCCCACGCTAAACACAGCCAGCCACTGCATGCTCGCGTCCGACAGGGAAAATGACTCAAGTGAACCCAAGCCTGTCATTTGTGAGATGATGCCCCCCCCCACCCCCACTTTCCCATTTAAATATTCATGCCAGCGTTTACCCTGATTAATATGCGAGAGAGAAGGTTCTGGATAAAAGACACGGAGAGGCCTGTTGTGACACCGGCCCTGTCTTCAGCTGCTCATCCGGGACCACCGGGGCACCCATCTCCCCCCATCTCCCCCCACTCCCTCCACTCCCAGCCGAAAAACCTGAGGACGTCTGAAGCGCTCCCATTTCGCCCCCACACACCCCCCGCCCGGGATGCAAATGAGCAACACAGATGGGAATTACGCTGAAAAGGAGCACGGAATAAAAACAGAAAAAGGCCCCCTCTTCATTAAGCAGCTCCGGCTCGTTAGCGTGTCGCGTATGGGACAGGTATTCTGCCGATTTTGCCAAAATAATAAAAAAAAAAAAGCCCGATTGATTTTTTCCCCCTTCCTCGCCGGCCGGGACGATTTGCATTTTAAAACAGCTCTTATTTAAGAAGGCCATTAAGACAAACGGCGGGCAGGAGATGAGGCCTGGGGCTGCCGGGCGTGACTGCGGCCAGGAACGCGCAAGCTCTGCTGGCTCGCCACAAAGCGCCGCCGCTCTCAAAGGGGTGGTGGAGAAATTCCACGCTGCAGCGTAGCAGCATAGCAGGCTCCATCAGGGGCTTCCAAAGAGGCCTGGGTGTACACGTTCGGGGGGGGGGGCACCACTGTTCTCCAGTCCCTTCGGACAATTACATCAGCGCCAAGCAGTGCCAGGACCTGCTGGCGAAGCAGGGTGATCACAGGTAGGACTTCCAGAGCTGGGGAGCCTAATCCATACAGCAGAAACAGACCAGGAAACACAGGCACAGGAAACACAGGCACAGGAAACACAGGCACAGGAAACACAGGCACAGGAAACACAGGCACAGGANCAGGAAACACAGGCACAGGAAACACAGGCACAGGAAACACAGGCACAGGAAACACAGGCACAGGAAACACAGGCACAGGATACAGGTCAAACGGGAGGAGTTTGTGTTGCCTGGGTCAGAACTGACCCCGGTCAAGGAGACCACGCCGAATGGCGGCCGCGGACAAAGCTGCCTCTGGGGGCCTTTTCCTATCTACGTGGTTCCGGTCACCCAGGACAGCGTAAAACCGCTGCTTCACCAACGGGCTGGGCGCCCCCCCCACCACCCCGCGGCCGAGGGAAAGTGGCGACAAACAGAAGGAAAATATTCCAAGCAACAAAAAAAAAAATACTACACATCCAACAGGCATCTGCTCAGCTGGATGGGGGCTCCAGGCCCCCCCCATGTGCCCCTAGAGCTCAGAGAATTTCAGGGCATATTTTACCTATTATCCAAATGACTGCCTTCCACAAAACCAACAATCAACCGTCCCTTTTATCTTTTTATGACCTGATTAAGTTAACGAGGCTCACATGTGGCCAGAAGAGCACGACTGCGGTTTCTCGTCCGGGGGGGCCCAACAACCCCATACTAATGGATTACGATGATATCTGATTGCTGATTTTGGGAGGGGGCCACTGAACAGTTTTTTAACCTCTGCTATTATTAGTATTACATAGGAGGAAAAAAAAGAAAGAATGCACTCACACCAATTTCAGAGGTTAATGTGGGCCGGGTGTGGGGTTGTACAAAACCACAGTGACGGCATTTGCTCAGTTACATACTTACCTGCTCCATAACCAGGCTTTATAAATGGACCTGTAGAGCTACATCAGCAGCATGGCCCAAGTGGGGCACAGCAGAAAGGCTCACAAAAGCCTAGAGCTGAGGCAGGAGTGTGAGAGAGATCTGTGTGTTCCTTAGGCCCCGTCATACCACACACCCAGCAGCAGGGGGCGATTGCGAGCTCCTGCCTGTGTTCTCACCTTGCTGCAGGGCTGGCATGGCCACGGTGCCCTGTCCCGGCTGCAGGCTCACCAGGCCCTGCCTCTGCAGGTTGAGAAGGTGCTGCTGCTGTAGCTGCTGCATCTGGATCAGCTGCTGCTGGAAGGCCAGCTGTTTGTTCCCCAGCTGCTGCTGTGGGGCGGGGGGTGGGTGGTTGCAGAGAGAGAGAGAAAGAGGGGAGAGTTTACACCCGGGCCACACAAACTCCCTCCTGCGGGACGGCTTTAGGGACCGTCACCAGCACGTCCTCCCGTCCCGGACACGGTGCGGCCCCCTCCCGCTACCCTTGTGTTAATAATTAGCCCACAGGGAGTCATTCGTCAGAGGCGTGTGGTGTGGAGGAAGTCGGCTGATCTCCTAATCATTCCCCCCCCTACAGTGCCATTTCCAAGCCACGCACTTCAGGGAGACTGCAAATGCGTGACCCGTCCCGGGACTTCTTGGGTATGATGGTCTAACGAGGTACGAGTTCAAACTGCCGGGTCCCAAAACAGAGTCCAGTGAGAAACACTGCAGTGGATGGTATGATCTGTACATCCAACTGGCAGATGAAATCAGGCTAAACTAAACTACTGGGCAGCAGGAATAAACCGGTAGTTAACAGGTACTGTGAGCTTAACTAGTCACAAACTTCATCCTTCCACTCCATGAGTCACTCTATGGAAAGTACTCCCCGAAACAGCACCTCTCGTAAAAAAGATATTAAGGACAACTGACTTTCCCCCGGCCCCCCCCCAAAACTAAGAGGCCAATGGGAACGAAAAACAAACAGAAAAAAGAGCAATGACCACATCTGGCATGACATAACCGTGGCGGAGACGGGATTAAACCAGCCGGCCGCTTCATTAACAGGGAATCCCAGCGGCTCTGCACAGACGTGTGAAGCGCGGCCAGACCAGGAACAGCTGGGAGGGACACATTCCCGGGCTGCTATCGGGAACATCGCCTCAGAGGCGAAAATACGGGGAATCCGAGCGGGGTCGTCTGGAGCGGACAACACGGCATCTGGCGATAACGTCGAGGGCTGTTCTCCTGATAAATGCCACCCCCGCTACCCCCGCCCGCCCGGTCGCTCTCTGTTGAGCTGTTCCAGCGACGCACTTTTGATGTTCCTCCAGTGAAAGATGGCCTTTATCTGGTGCAGATAAGACCACCCCCACCCCCCCACCCCCCAGCCTGACGCCCGTTTCCATGTTGGGCGTAAGCGGCGGCTCTTCCTTTCAGAGTCTCCGGGGGGGGGGAGTGACGGGAAGTGGGGTCACTTCTCGCGAGACGGGAAGGCGAACACAATAAAGCGCTCTCCCGGAGTGTGGAACTCGAGCCGGCTCTGCGGAGGAGCAGAATGTGGCCGCGGTCTTTACAGGCTGACAGCCGTGTGCGCGGCACATTATATCCTGAGAGTTTGGCACCTACGCAACCTTCCGTACTGTTTCCATGCTCTTATTGACTTTATAAGCCTTTTAGCAGACACCCAGACCTATTTGCACTGTACATCTTACTTAGACGTCTACATGTTTATTAATTTCTTCTCTCTCTGCTTTCACTCTGGTTTATTGTTCTGTGTATTTCATCTTGACCAGTGGCTTTAACTGGGCCCTTCACGCCACCAGTTTTGCTCAAAGCCTATGTGGAGTCCTGAGTCCACTTCGTCGCCTAATTTCACTCCGACAGCAACAAAGCTTTCCGGGGGGGGGGGGGGGGCTCAGAAGATGATGCCCATAGGCGGCCACTGAGAATTCTGATTTTCATGCTGGCTACCTGGTCATTTTGACATCTGATATCTGTCTGTATTCAGAACATTGACACAGTTCATTTTCCCAGGTACGTTTCCGCTCTCTGCAAAAACACCCAGCATCCCAGCTGCGAACAAGTCCAACAGTGAGAGTGGCCTGTGCACCCCCCACCCACCCACCCCGGCGAGGGCGCAACTGGCGCATTCCCCTCCCCCATGAGGGATGCTGAGACGGGGTGGGGGTGGGAGAGAGAAAGGGGAGGGAGTTGTGGCAGCACAGAGACGAACAGCAGCATCTTAAAGCCTCCCCCCCCTCATTTCTCCCCCAGAGACATGGTTCAAGTTCTTTAACACATTGTGTCTGCGCTCTGTTTACATTAGATTCAGTTGAGTGGCTAAAGCTAGCGCAGTAACAGGCCTGTCAGCTTGATTTATGAGCACATCAAACAGAGTTTCGGCTGCCGCCGCGGACTGACAGCGGTACTTCATTAATCTGACTCCAGGGCGACTCGCCGCCTCAGCCGTCAGGCCCGTACTCTAAACGCCGCTGCCACTCCCTAAAAAGCACAGAGGCGGTGCGGAGGTACCCAATCGCTAGCCGGTCCACGGGCTTCCTTCCTTTAAGGATATATATCGTGCACGCACCCCCCCCTCCCCACCCAAGTGCTGTGTGTGTTTTTTTTTTTTTTTTTTAAACACTTCTCTGCTGACTAACACCAATGTGGACAGCAATTAAAGTAACCTTTACTTCACACTTTAAAACTTCAGGAAACTCCTCCGAGTTCAAACTGAAGACTTCACATTTTACAGAGGTAGCAGACAAGGCTTTGGACGGGGGGGGGGGGGGGGGTGGGGGGGGGGGGGGGGGGGGGGGTTTGGGGGAGCCAGAATGAGATGAGGGGGTCCATCTAATTTTTCCCTCGCTGCCAACTCTCTGGGCAAAGCACAGCCGCCTCGGAAATCAGAGCAGCACAAACTATTTTTAAGCCGTGCCGGTGTTTCGCTCTCAGGACGGGAGGCGGATTCACGGTGGCTTACGGCGCCGCCCGCCCGCCCCAGAGCGTGTCCAGGGAGATGGGGACAGGTCAACAGGACTGGGCTGGAGATAAGCTCTTGGTGGCACAGTCCCTGCAGGTGACGTCAAGCGTCCCCGGTCGAGAGACGGCCACGCGGCTCCGCTTTAGTTTCCCCAGTGGGCCCGTCGTGAAATTTCGCGCTTGCCTGCCTTTCGTTTAGTCGGCCGCCGGAGCTCGTGGCCTCGCGAGGCGCTCGCCCGCCAAGCTGAAGCGCGCACACAGGTGCACATTTATAAGCGGACATCGCACACACACACGGAGGCACAAACAGAATCCGATACATCAAAATAAATAAAAAAACAGCCTTTTATTTCCAGCCTGATAGATTTTAAATACAGAATGTGAGGCCTGAAGGCCCATCCAATCTGTCCTGCACTAAAAGAAGCCTCAGGGTTGACCGGGTTGACGTACTGGGACCTATAAGGCAGTGGCTACACTTCCACATTCTTACCAGTAGATGGCAGCTAGACCGGTACAGAAAAAGTCCAGGAAAATCCCTTTTGACGGTTCTTGATCTGTGCTCCTCAAACGTGCGTGGGGAGTCCTTCCTCACGGCGCCGGTGGCGCTCTGGCGCCCCAGCCTCCATCATGAACGGCATAGACGTGGAGCATTCGCCAGCACTGCATTCCTCTCTGGGAGAAATGCTGGTAGAGATGAAGCCGGCAAAGCTCACTCAGGCGAGACCCGCGCTCTCTGAGAGGCCCGAGCCCCAGCCTGGGCAAGGCCCCCTGACATTAATTCCATCTGGCACCCTGCTCTTTAAAAGCCTGCTTCGTCCGGCACCAATATTTAATAAGGGAAAATGTCTCAAAAACTCCAGGGGCCACGAAAACAGCAAGACATGTGCCCCCCCCTTCCATTTTATCACCTTCTGTCCCGAGCCCATTCCACTGTGCCATTCTATGCAAATGTCAGACTGCAGGTCTTACTTGGGACCATAACGTGTGTGTGTGTGTGTGTGTGTGTGTGTGTGTTGTCCTCCTGGTGTGTCGTATCGCGTTTACTGTGCATTTGTCCCACTGGTCACAGCGGCCTCCCAGGGTCTGGCTAATGAGCCTTAATCCCCCTACCTACCTTTTCAAGAGTGGGGGATTCCTCAGACCCAACAAAATCCCTTTG